AAACAGTTACATATGAGGGAAACCCCATAAAGCTATTGACAGATTTCTCAGCAGAAACCTCGCAGGACAGAAGGGGTGGCACGCTATTCCAACTGCTGAAAGGGAAAAATCTGTAGCCAAGAATACTCTATCCTGCAAGGCTATCATTCAGAATAGAAGGAGAGATAAGTTTCTCAGACAAGCAAAACTAAAGAAATTCATGACCATTAAACCAGCCCTACAAGAAATATGAAAGGGGACTCTGAGTAGAAAGGAAAGGCCATAAAGGAGTATGAAAAGTAAAAAACATGAAAGTAGTAAAAATAAGTATTTTGGTAAAATTCAGTCAAGGGATTCATAAAAGGAAAGGATGTAAAATATGATACCACATGCCTAAAACATGGGGAGGAGGGAGAGGAGTAAAAAATGGGTTTAAACTTAATATAGACAGCTATATGCAGAAGATATTATATACAAACCTAATGGTAACCACAAATCAAAACCAGTAACAGATATGCAAAGAATAAAGATAAAGGGATCCAAATATATTATGAAAGAAAGCCAACAAACCAGGAAATGGAGCAAGGGAAGAAAGGATCACATAAAAACTATAGAAACAACCACAAAACAAGTAACAAAACAGCAAAAAATACGTAGCTATTAATAATTACATTGAATGTAAATGGACTAAATGCTCTAATTAAAATACACAGGGTGGGGCGCCTGGGTGGCTCAGTTGGTTAAGCGACTGCCTTCAGCTCAGGTCATGATCCCAGGGTCCTGGGATCGAGTCCCGCATCGGGCTCCCTGCTCTGCGGGGAGCCTGCTTCTCCCTCACCCACTCCCCCTGCTTGTGTTCCCTCTCTCGCTGTGTCTCTCTCTGTCAAATAAATAAATAAAATCTTAAAAAAAAAAAAATACACAGGGTGACAGTAGATAGAAAAACAAGATCCATCTATATGCTGCCTACAAGGAGTCTCATTTCAGATCTAAAGACACTTGCAGATTGAAAGTGAGGGGATGGAGAAACATCTATCACGCAAATAGTTGTCAAGAGAAAGCCAGGGTAGCAATACTGATAATGGACAAAGTAAACTTTAAAATGAAGACTGGGGTTGCCTGGGTGGCTCAGAGGTTAAGCGTCTGCCTTCCGCTCAGGTCATGATCCCAGGGTCCTGGGATCGAGCCCCGCATTGGGCTCCCTGCTCAGCAGGAAGCCTGCTTCTCCCTCTCCCCTCCCCCTGCTTGTGTTCCCTCTCTCGCTGTCTCTCTCTCTGTCAAATAAATAAGTAAAAATCTTTTAAAAAAAATTAAACAAAGACTGTAGGGATGCCTGGGTAGCTCAGTTGTTTGGGCATCTGCCTTCGGCTCAGGTCATGGTCTCAGGGTCCTGGGCTTGAGTCCCGCACTGGGCTCCCTGCTCAGCGGGGAGCCTGCTTCTCCTGCTCCTCCTGACCCTTGCCCTGATTCATGCTTTCTTGCTCTCTCAAATAAATAAAATCTTTATTTGAGAGAGAGAGAGAGAGACCAAGCAGGGAGAGGGAGAAGCAGGCACCCCGCTGAGTAGGGAGCCTGATCCCAGGACCCTGGGACCATGACCTGAGGGCAGATGCTTAATCGACCGAGCCACTCAGTAGCCCCTCAAATAAATAAAATCTTTAAAAAACAACAGCAGCAAGAAGACTGTAACAAGAGACAAAGAAGGATACCATATAAGGGGACAATCTAATAAGAGAATATAAAGATTTAAAAAATTTATGCACCCAAGATGAGAGCACCCAAATACATAAAACAGTTAATAACAAACATGAACTAATCTATAGTAATACAATAATAGTAGGGGAATTTAACACCCACTTATATCAATGGACAGATCATACACAAAAATAAACTCAAGATGGATGAAAGACCTAAATGTGAGACCTAAAACCATAAAAATCCTTAAAGAGAGTGCAGGCAGTGATCTCTCTGACCTCAGCCATCACAACATTTTCCTAGATATGTCTCCTGAAGCAGGGAAACAAAAGCAAAAGCAAACTATTGGACTACATCATAATAAAAAGTTTCTGCACAGCAAAGCAAACAATCAACAAAACTAAAAGGTAACCTATGGACTGGGAGAAGCTATTTTCAAAGGACATATCTGATAAAGAATATCTAAAAGATAGAAAAAACATACACAACAACCAAAAACCAAAAAATTCTGTTAAAAAAAAGGACAGAAAACGTAAACAGACATTTCTTTTTTTAAGATTTTATTTATTGATTTGAGAGAGAGAGTGAGCATGACTGGGGGGAGGGGCAAAAGGAGAGAGAGAGAGAGACAAACAGACTCCCCACTCAGCAGGAAGCCCGATTTGGGGCTTAATCCCAGGATCCTGAGATCATGACCCAAGCGGAAGTTTGACGCTTAACCGACTGAGCCACCAGGTGCCCCACGAACAGACATTTCTCCAAAGAAGACATCCAGATGGCCAAGAGACATCACATGACAATATCCTCAACATCACTCATCATTAGGGAAATGCAGATCAAAACTACAATGAGATATATCACCACACACCTGTCAGAATGGCTAAAATCAAAGACACAGGAAACAAGTGTTGACGAAGCTATGGAAAGAAAGGAACACTCCTGCACTGTTGGTGGGAATGCAAACTGGTGCAGCCACTGTGGGAACAGCATGGAGGCTCCTCAGAAAGTTAAAAATACAGCCACCCTATGATCCAGTAACTGCGCTACTGGGTATGTACCCCAAAATATAAAAACACTAATTCAACAGGATATATGCACCCCGATGTTTATTGCTGCATTATTTACAATAGTCAAACTATGGAAGCAGCAAAATGCCCACTGATAGGTGAATAGATAAAGAAGAGGTGGTATATATACCACCTATCTATGGAGTATTAGTCATAAGAATGAAGTCGTGCCATTTGCAATAACATCAAAGAGCTAAAAAAGTATAATGTTAAGTGATATAAGTCAGCCAGAGAAAGACAAATACTACATGATTTCATTCACATGTGGAATTTAAGAAACAAAACAAATAAGCAAAGGAAAGAAAAAATAAAGTCAAATCAAGAAAGACTCTTACCTATAAAGAACACACTGATGGTTATCAGAAGGGAAATGGGTGTGGGGATGGAGGAAAGAAGGGATTGGGATTAAAGAGTATACTGATCATGATGAAAAAATAAGATAAAATGATTTAAAAAAAGAACAAACACGATACTAAGTTGTAAACAGCTGTAAATGCCATCGGGATTTGGAAGGTAATCTGTCATCTACAACATGAGTGCTGTACAAATGACAAGTAGTTGTTTTGTTTCTGATGAGAGAAGACCAACAGCTATAAGGCCTATGAGGAACAATGCAAAGCATTATAAAGGAAGTTGTGTGGTTGATTCACTGGAAAAAAATTAGGGTACACAGAAGGCCTTCCTGTAAGATGGTTAAAATATAGCCTGGAGGCAAAGGATGATGGAGTTGAACAGAAGGTGCTCTCACCATGGGACTGTGTGATTACCAGCTGTTTTCTTTTTTTTTTTTAAAGATTTTATTTATTTATTCATGAGAGACAGAGAGAGAGAGAGAGAGGCAGAGGGAGAAGCAGGCTCCCAAGGAGCAGGGAGCCCGATGCGGGACTCGATCCCAGGACGCTGGGATCGTGACCTGAGCCGAAGGCAGACACTTAACTATCTGAGCCACCCAGGCGCCCTACCAGCTGCTTTCTGCAATTCCCTTTTCTCCCCTTTTCATTTCAAACTTTTTCTAAGTATTTTTAAGAAGTATTCATTCTTTATGCTCTAAGAATTGATATAAAACTGTTCTTCTGCTTATGCTTAATTTTGCTCTAATAATCACCCTGGTATTTATACTGTTCGCTGATTCTTCCTCAGCAGCTTTAAAAATTAAAGTGCCAAGAAAGGCAGAACATGTAAAATTGTCATAACAATGTTGACTCACAAGACTGACTCACACCTGGGAAGTGTCAAATCAATCGGGCATAATAAACAATCTGTAATATCAGGCAAACTATGAAACCATTAATAAAAATGTCAAATCCCTCAAAAATGACAGTACATCACAGTGTGAAGGAAATATGTTTGGTATCTAAGAAACATTTCCAAAAAGGGAAAGAACCAAAAGATTGTCACAACAAAATATAAAAGTAATCCTTTCCAGAGTAAGCTACTGCTTTAAAGTAGCTTTGAATGACTGCATAATTCAATACACTGAAAACTTACAAGCAGAAAAGTGGTTTTCTTCTTTAATTTGCAGATTCTAAATTCTCGTAATTGAATTGTTTATAAAATGAATGACATTTAGGGCTCACAAGAAATAACAGGGTTTTTTTTTTTCAAAGTTCTTGTCAATTCAGTTATGATAGATCCTATTTGTCTCACATCAACTGATCCTTCAACATATTAGCTTATAAAAACAGGATAAACTTTATTAATCTGGTAATGCATAGAACTGAAATTATTGTGAAAGGTCGAATTAATGATCAGACTCTTTTTTAATCCTCTAGTTTTAATTAGTAATTATAAAGGGAAAAGGGGAGGAGTCTGATATCATCCTCCTTAAAGAAATACAGAGGGAAATGCTGTTGTAAAGAGGCACAAAACTTTTCCACATGTGTGTCCGTAAGTAGGAAAATGGAGAAAATGGATTAAAGTCCTCTTAAAATGAAATGGGAGGGGCGCCTGGGTGGCTCAGTCATTAAGCATCTGCCTTTGGCTCAGGTCATGATCCCAGGGTCCTGGGATCAAGCCCCGCATTGGGCTCCCTGCTCAGCAGGAAGCCTGTTTCTCCCTCTCCCACTCCCCTGCTTGTGTTCCCTCTCTTGCTGTGTCTCTCTCTGTCAAATAAATAAATAAAATATTTAAGAAAAAAAAAATGAAATGGAATAACACATTATCAGTATTGAAAATAAAATTCAAATCTTTAAGGGTATCAAAATCAAGTAAAACAGAGGAAACCTGTGTCTAAATGCTGCCATCTATCTACATTCCTACCTATTTTCTGTCTCCAGTTCATTCTTGCGTAGATTTGCGTCATCCAGAAGACTCTGCAATAAGGCAATTTTTTCATTGTCTGAACCCTCTTGGTTAATTTTTAACATCTTATTCTCATGCTGAAGACGAATAAGTTTCTCCCTGAAAGAGCAAAAGAAAAACTGATTATGTGCCACATCAATACAATATCATTATCAAAATCCAGCTATGCATAATTACAGATTTCACACAGAAAACAGAAAGGAAAAACAAAATACCTGCAAAGAATTTAGCTCTTGTAACTGGCTAAGACATTACATTTCAGGTCTTTAGTACTTTCTTTTCAGAATGGATAATGTGAAGATAACAGCATCTTCAAATATTATGATTTGTAATGAATGATATTTCAAAATTTTATTTCCTAAAGGTTTAAATGGTTAAGCTATGAATGCATTTATATATTTGTTCTTTAGTTCTCATCAAAAAACATGACCTCTAATGCTATGTTCTTGAACCGCTAATCACTTGCTGTCAAGATATAATATTCAATGAAGAATGCCTTCAAGATATGCATTCTGCCCATTCCCATAAATATGCATAAACTGTATTTTTGCTAACAAGGTGTATTAGAGCTGCATCTGTTTACACTTATTCACAATTTTTTCATATCATTAAACAGTATACATTAATGATAATAGACTACTTTAAATGACATGTTAAACAGTGTAGATGAGTTGTTACTTAATCAATGCCCAATTATTCCAAATTTGATTGTTAACCACTTTTGAGCTTTAACAAGTTAATAACAATCAGCTTTACTGGTTATTTCCTTAGGATTAATTTCTGGAAAAGTAGTTTTGTGGATATTTGTAGATAATATTCACATACTGCCAAATTGCTCGAAGAAAATGTACCACCACAAGAAAAAAAAAACGTGTGGTGATGAATGTTAACTTACTGCAGTGATCATTTCATAATACAGACATATATGAAATCATCAAGTTGTACACCTTCAACTAATACAATGTTATATTTCATCTCTTTTACCATTTCATTTTCTTTTCTTTTTTTAAACATTTTATTTATTTGACAGGGAGACACAGCGAGAGAGGGAACACAAGCAGGGGGAGCGGGAGCGGGAGCTGCAGGCTTCCCGCAGAGCAGGGAGCCCAATGTGGGGCTCGATCCCAGGACCCTGGGACCACGACCTGAGCCGAAGGCAGACGCTTAATGACTGAGCCACCAAGGCACCACAACCATTTCATTTTCTTGATAGCTCTTCTGGAAACAGAGTATATTTAAATTTGTATTGAGTCATACTCAAAGAAGACATTTTATTTGTTGAATTTTTATCATTTTTCTCTTCCTCAGATTAAAAATCCAACTGCATTAGAAGCATTCATAAATAAAAAAAGACCATGTCACAAGTGGTCCAATAATAAAGTACCACATCAGATGGTTGAAAAGTAAAAGGTATACAAGATGCTTCCACTGTTGGTGCTGCATTATACTCCTTTTGTTTGTCCTCCTTAAATAAATGCCAACAACAATAAATTAATATTGTTGTCATTTATTCAACAAGTAACTGAATGCCTATGGTAACTTTCAGAGTTCATAAAACTCTTACACAACCATTATTTCATTTAATACCCCTCAAAGATGTTATGGAGAGTCAAGGACAGTGTCAATTTTAAAAGATGGCAAATAGGGGCGCTGGGTGGCTCAGTTGGTTAAGCAACTGCCTTTGGCTCAGGTCATGATCCTGGAGTCCTGGGATTGAGTCCTGCGTCGGGCTCCCTGATCAGCAGGGAGTCTGCTTCTCCCTCTGACCCTCCACCCTCTCATGTGCTCTCTCTCAAATAAATAAATAAAATCTTTAAAAAAAAGGGGGGGGGGCAAATAGTCCCAAAGAAGGTAAAAGCAATATTCAGGATTAATCATTCTCCTTCTGCTGGACACTTGGTGCCTCTCCCCTAATTTTTCATTCCTACATATCAAGCCAGGTATATAGTGAAATAAATGGAATTTTAGAAACACTATGACTAAGAAAGTAAGGTAATATTGAGGGAAGAGTAGTAGAGGTGGGGAGATATTTCTGTCTACTATATCTTTCCCAGACCATTTCATATAGTTAACAAATAAATCTTAGTGACTAATTTGCAGGCTGTTGGCTAGGCGTAACCTTTGTCTTTAAGCCAAGTGGTTTCACTGCTAAATGTCTGGTAAGGATACCCAATCACGAATATATTAATTTGTCATGAATGTGTGAAATATTATCCTACCGAAGTGGGAAAATCAAGGCTATTGGGCCAACTGAAGAAAGCTTCTAACATGCTGCAAACATGGACATTAAATACTGAGTTCATGTTGAAAGTGTCAGTAATAAGGAATAAGAAACTGATCCTCTTTATATTGCAGAGGACTAAGTTTCCTCCAGGAATACTGTGCAGTATGACTGAATTTCAAGATCTCCTTACCTGATTTCAGGTGTAACAATCTCTGCAGCCAGACTATCTGAAGATTCTTGACTTCCCAGAGGCATTAACCCTATAAATGTACAAATACGGATGCAAGGTTTAAGAGAGAGTACATTGATTTCTTTTAGTTTCTACATGAAACCCTACTTTAAGCATTAATTTTAACATTTAAAATCTTCATTTTAGTCAAGTAAAAGACCATGTCACAGTTGCCTTATATTAATACCATTTTAACAACTGTACAGTGTACAACTGAATGGCAGTAACTCCACTCACTATGGTGAACCATCAGCAACACCTACCTTGTGTCTGGATTCCTTCATTTAGCATAATGTTTTGAAAACTCAAACATATTGGAGAACTTATCAGAACTTCATTCCTTTTCATGGCCAAATAATACTCCATTGAATACGTATATGTATACAAATATATATATGTACATTTTTTTATTTTACTTTTATTTTTTTTTTGCTGCTTATGTGTTTTTATTTTGTTTCATATTGTGTTGTGTTGTATTTTTTCCTTTTTTTTAAATTCTTACGTTAATCCCCATACATTAAATCATTAGTTTTAGATGAAGTGTTCCATGATTCATTGTTTGTGCATAACACCCAGTGCTCCATGCAGAATGTGCCCTCCTCAATACCCACCACCAGGCTAACCCATCCTCCCACCCCCCGCCCCTCTAGAACCCTCAGTTTGTTTTTCAGAGTCCATCGTCTCTCATGATTCGTCTACCCCTCCGATTTTCCCCGCTTCATTCTTCCCCTCCCGCTACCTATTTCTTCTTTTTTCTTAACATATATTGCATTATTTGTCTCAGAGGTACAGATCTGAGATTCAACAGTCTTGCACAATTCACAGCGCTTACCAGAGCACATACCCTCCTCCCCAGTGTCTATCACCCAGTCACCCCATCCCTCCCACCCCACCCCCCACTCCAGCAACCCTGTTTGTTTCCTGCAATTAAGAATTCCTCATATCAGTGAGATCATATGATACATGTCTTTCTGTTAGACTTATTTTGCTCAACATAATACCCTCCAGTTCCATCCATGTCGTTGCAAATGGCAAGATCTCATTCCTTTTGATGGCTGCGTAATATTCCATTGTATATATATACCACCTCTTCTTTATCCATTCATCTGTCGATGGACATCTTGGCTCTTTCCACAGTTTGGCTATTGTGGACATTGCTGCTATAAACATCGGGGTGCACGTACCCCTTCGGATCCCTACTTTTGTATCTTTGGGGTAAATACCCAGTAGTGCAATTGCTGGATCATAGGGTAGCTCTATTTTCAACTTTTTGAGGAACCTCCATACTGTTTTCCAGAGTGGCTGCACCAGCTTGCATTCCCACCAACAGTGTAGGAGGGTTCCCCTTTCTCCGCATCCCCGCCAACATTTGTCGTTTCCTGACTTGTTAATTTTAGCCATTCTGACTGGTGTGAGGTGGTATCGCATTGAGGTTTTGATTCGGATTTCCCTGATGCCAAGCGATATTGAGCATTTTTTTTTTTTTTTTTTTTTTGATATTGAGCATTTTTTCGTGTGTCTGTTGGCCATTTGGATGTCTTCTTTGGAAAAATGTCTGTTCATGTCTTCTGCCCATTTCTTGATTGGATTCTTTGTTCTTTGGGTGTTGAGTTTGATGAGTTCTTTATAGATTTTGGATACTAGCCCTTTATCTGATATGTCATTTGCAAATATCTTCTCCCATTCTGTCAGCTGTCTTTTGGTTTTGTTGACTGTTTCCTTTGCTGTGCAAAAGCTTTTTATGTTGATGAAGTCCCAATAGTTCATTTTTGCCCTTGCTTCCCTTGCCTTTGGTGATGTTTCTAGGAAGAAGTTGCTTCGGCTGAAGTCAAAGAGGTTGCTGCCTGTGTTCTCCTTTAGGATTTTATGGACTCCTGTCTCACATTGAGGTCTTTCAAACATTTGGAGTCTATTTTTGTGTGTGGTGTAAGGAAATGGTCCAGTTTCATTCTTCTGCATGTGGCTATCCAATTTACCCAACACCATTTGTTGAAAAGACTGTCTTTTTTCCATTGGACATTCTTTCCTGCTTTGTCAAAGATGAGTTGACCATAGAGTTGAGGGTCCATTTCTGGACTCTCTACTCTGTTCCATTTATCTATGTGTCTGTTTTGGTGCCAGTACCATGCTGTCTTGATGATGACAGCTTTGTAATAGAGCTGGAAGTCCAGAATTGTGATGCCGCCAGCTTTGCTTTTCTTTTTCAACATTCCTCTGGCTATGCGGGTCTTTTCTGGTTCCATACAAATTTTAGGATAATTTGTTCCATTTCTTTGAAAAAAGTGGATGGTATTTTGATGGGGATTGCATTGAATGTGTAGATTGCTCTAGGTAGCATTGACATCTTCACAGTATTTGTTCTTCCCATCCATGAGCATGGAACGTTTTTCCATTTCTTTGTGTCTTCCTCAATTTCTTTCATGAGTATTTTATAATTTTCTGAGTACAGATCCTTTGCCTCTTTGATTAGATTTATTCCTAGGTATCTTATGGTTTTGGGTGCAATTGTAAATGGGATCGACTCCTTAATTTCTCTTTCTTCTGTCTTGTTGTTGGTGTATAGGAATGCCACTGACTTCTGTGCATTGATTTTATATCCTGCCACTTTACTGAATTCCTGTATGAGTTCAAGCAGTTTTGGGGTGGAGTCTTTGGGGTTTTCCACATAAAGTATCATATCATCTGCAAACAGAGTTTGACTTCTTCTTTGCCAATTTGGATGCCTTTGATTTCTTTTTGTTGTCTGATTGCTGTGGCTAGGACTTCCAATACTATGTTGAATAGCAGTGGTGATAGTGGACATCCCTGCTGCATTCCTGACCTTAGTGGGAAAGCTCTCAGTTTTTCCCCATTGAGAATGATATTCGCTGTAGGTTTTTCATAGATGGCTTTTATGATATTGAGGTATGTACCCTCTATGCCTATACTCTGAAGAGTTTTGATCAAGAAAGGATGCTGTACTTTGTCAAAAGCTTTTTCTGCATCTATTGAGAGGATCATATGATTCTTGTTCTTTCTTTTGTTAATGTATTGTATCACGTTGATTGATTTGCGGATGTTGAACCACCCTTGCAGCCCAGGGATAAATCTCACTTGGTCATGGTGAATAATCCTTTTAATGTACTGTTGGATCCTATTGGCTAGTATTTTGGTGAGAATATTTGCATCCATGTTCATCAGGGATATTGGTCTGTAATTCTCCTTTTTGATGGGGTCTTTGTCTGGTTTTGTGATCAAGGTAATACTGGCCTCATAAAATGAGTTTCGAAGTTTTCCTTCCATTTCTATTTTTTGGAACAGTTTCAGAAGAATAGGTATTAATTCTTCTTGAAATGTTTGGTAGAATTCCCCTGGGAAGCCATCTGGCCCTGGGCTCTTGTTTGTTGGGAGATTTTTGATGACCGCTTCAATTTCCTTAGTGGTTATAGGTCTGTTCAGGTTTTCTATTTCTTCCTGGTTCAGTTTAGGTAGTTGATACATCTCTAGGAATGCATCCATTTCTTCCAGGTTATCTAATTGGCTGGCATAGAGTTGCTCATAATATGTTCTTATAATTGTTTGTATTTCTTTGGTGTTGGTTGTGATCTCTCCTCTTTCATTCATGATTTTGTGGCTTTGGGTCATTTCTCTTTTTTGATAAGTCTGGCCAGGGGTTTATCAATCTTGTTAATTCTTTCAAAGAACCAGTTTCTAGTTTCGTTGACCTAGTCTACTGTTCTTTAGTTTTTATTTCATTGATTTCTGCTCTGATCTTTATAATTTCTCTTCTCCTGCTGGGTTTAGGCTTTATTTGCTGTTCTTTCTCCAGCTCCTTTAGGTGTAGGGTTAGGTTGTGTACTTGAGACCTTTCTTGTTTCTTGAGAAAGGCTTGTATTGCTATATACTTTCCTCTTAGGACTGCCTTTGCTGCATCCCAAAGATTTTGAATAGTTGTGTTTTCATTTTCATTGGTTTCCATGTATTTTTTTAATTCTTCTTTAATTTCCTGGTTGACCCATTCATTCTTCAGCAGGATGCTCTTTAGCCTCCATGTATTTGAGTTCTTTCCGACTTTCCTCTTGTGATTGAGTTCTAGTTCCAAAGCACTGTGGTCTGAAAATATGCAGGGAATGATCCCAATCTTTTGGTACCAGTTGAGACCTGATTTGTGACCTAGGATGTGATCTATTCTGGAGAATGTTCCATGGACACTAGAGAAGAATGTGTGTTCCGTTGCTTTGGGATGGAATGTTCTGAATATGTCTGTGAAGTCCATTTGGTCCAGTGTGTCATTTAAAGTCTTTATTTCCTTGTTCATCTTTTGCTTAGACGATCTGTCCATTTCAGTGAGGGGGGTGTTAAAGTCCCCCACTATCACTGTATTGTTGTCGATGTGTTTCTTTGCTTTTGTTATTAATTACCTTATATAATTGGCTGCTCCCATGTTAGGGGCATAGATATTTACAATTGTTAGATCTTCTTGTTGGATAGACCCTTTAAGTAGGATATAATGTCCTTCCTCATCTCTTATTACAGTCTTTGGTTTAAAATCTAATTTGTCTGATATAAGGATTGCCACACCAGCTTTCTTTTGGTGTCCTTTAGCATGGTAAATGGTTTTCCACCCCCTCACTTTCAATCTGGGGGTGTCTTTGGTTCTAAAATGAGTCTCTTGCAGACAGCATATCGATGGGTCTTGTATTTTAATCCAGTCTGATAGCCTGTGTCTTTTGATTGGGGCATTGAGCCCATTTACATTCAGGGTAACTATTGAAAGATAGGAATTTAGTGCCATTGTATTGCCTGTAAGGGGACTGTTACCGTATATTGTCTGTGTTCCTTTCTGGTCTATCTTGCTTTTAGGGTCTCTCTTTGCTTAGAGGACCCCTTTCAAGATTTCCTGTAGGGCTGGTTTTGTGTTTGCAAATTCCTTTAGTTTTTGTTTGTCCTGGAAGCTTTTTCTCTCTCCTTCTATTTTCAATGACAGCCTAGCTGGATAGAGTATTCTTGGCTGCATATTTTTCTCATTTAGTGCCCTGAATATATCCTGCC